ACATTTGCAGAACTCATAGAAAGGGCCTTGGACTTCCATAGAGTGTGCAATGAAGTATTGGTAATCTTTTTAAAATCTTAATAGGGAGACTACAGCTAAAATCTAAAACACAGAACGTGGTTATGATTCTTTATGTAGGGATCTTCTCATTCCAATGGCTTGTGGATTTCACTATCAAAAATGCCAACACCCCACAAACATTGGCCTATATTCCTAATGATCAATCGACCATATACACTTAGATGTCATACTGGCACTCAATATCCAGCATGTTCCTGATCGTACCTTCCCCACTTCCTCCCCAGGTCACTGTGTTTCTCCTACCTGTTCCCTGCCATTGTGAATGCCTCCACCACCCATACCATTCCTCAAGCAGAAATCTTGGAACTATCTGTGACTCCTTTCTCTTCTTCCTCAGAAGGCAAGGTTTGCATGCTTGGAGCAAGCGCCTTCTGGGAAGGCCACAGTAAACCAGCCCCTGAAGCATCAGAAGGTGTGTGTTTGCCTGCATGGAGCAAGCACCCCAGGGGCAGGCCCTAGTAAGCCAGCCCCAGGAGCAGTGGAAGGCAGGTGTTTGCATGTGTGGAGCACCCTGGGGGCAGGCTGGGTAAGCAAGCAGGGTGGGGGAGACCAGGAAATGAGCAGAGCACTTTGGAGCAACCAAGAAAGACAAACTTGTCTGCCAGTTTGTCCTACTGTGGTGGCCTGGGTGTTGCTATGAGGCTGGATGCTATCCCCACTGGTGTTTCAAATGCCAGCTCAGGGTTTCCCAGGGTGGATAGGTTTCAGCGGAGCTTCCATACTACAACAGATTCAAAAGAAGGAAGAGGCCATCCACTTCTCAAAGAATTGGCCAGTGAAAACCTGATGAATAGCAGTGAAACACTGTCTGATATATTACTGGAAAACTTTATGAATAACCCTGAAACATTGTGTGATACACTGCCAGAAGACGAGCCCCTCAGGTCAGAAGGCACTCAAAATACGACTGGGGAAGAGCTGCCTCCTTAGAGAAGAGACAACCTTAATGATGTGGATGAACTAAAGTTTTCAGGACCTTCATTTGCTGATGTGGCATGTCTCAAGATGAGAAGATACAGCTGCAAACATCCATTAATAATCAAAACATGGAATGTGTGAAGTATGAATGTAAGAAAATTGTAAATTGTCAAAAATGAAATGAAACACATAAAGGTTGATATCTTAGGCATTAGTGAGTTGAAATACACTGGTTTTGTTCATTTTGAATCAGACAATCATATGATCTACTATGCCAGGAATGACAAATTCAAGAAGAAGGTCGTGGCATTCATCATCACAAAGAATGTAACAAGATCTATCCTAAAGTTCAATGTTGTCAGTGGTAGGATAGTATCCACACATGTACAAGGAAGCCCGGTTGATACTACTATTATTCAAATTTATGCACCAACCACCAAAGCCAAACATGAGGAAATTGAAGATTTTGCCAACTTCTGCAATCTGAAATTGACTGAACATGCAATCAAGATGTGTTAATTATCACTGGTGATTGGAATGCAAAAGTTGGAAACAAAGAAGAATCACCAGTATTTAGAAAATATGGCCTTGGTGATAGAAATGTTGCTGGAGATTGCATGATACAATTTTGCAAGACCAATGACTTATTCATTGCAAATACGGTTTTCCAACAACACAAATGGCAGCTATACACTTGGACTTCACCAAACAGAGTACATAGGAATCAGATGGACTACATCTGTGGCAAGAAGTGATGGAGAAGCTCAGTATCTTCAGCCAAAACCAGGCCAGGAGGTGATTGTGGAACAGACCATCAACTTCTCATAAGCAAGTTCAAGTTGCAACTGAAGACAATTAAAAGAAGTCCACAAGAGCCAACATATGACCTTAATTATATCCCTTCTGAATTTAGAGACCACCTAAAGAATAGATTTGATGTATTAAACATCAATGACTGGAAACCAGAAGAATTGTGGGATGACATCAAGAACATCATCCACAAAGAAAGCAAAATGCCATCAAAAAGGAAAGGAAAAAAAGACTAAAACTGATGTCAGAAGAGACCCTGAAACTTGTCCTTGAATGGTGAGTAGCTAAAGCAAATGACAGGATAAAAGAATTGACAGGATAAAAGAGCTGAACAGAAGATTTCAAAGAGCAGCTTGAGAAGATAAAGTCAATTATTATGATGAAATTTGCAAAGACCTGGAGTTAGAGAACCAAAAGACAAAAACACACTTGGCATTTCTCAAGTTGAAAGAACTGAGGAAGAAATTTAAGCCTCGAGTTGCAATATTGAATGATTCCATGGGCAATATGCTGAATGATGCAGGAAAAAAACATCAAAAGAAGATGGATAGACAGAGTCATTATACCAAAAATAATTGCTAGAGGATTATCCATTTCAGGAGATGGCATATGATCAAGAACCAACGATACTGAAGGAAGAATTTGAAGCTGCACTGAAAGAATTGGCAAAATTGGATGCTGCACTGGAGGCACTCAATTGGTTATGGCAAGAGATTTGGAAGACAGCTATCTGGCCAACTAACTGGAAGAGATCCCTATTTGTACCCATTCCAAAGAAATGTGGAAATTATTGAACAATATCATTGTTATCACACGCAAGTAAAATCTTACTGATGATAATTCAAAAATGGTTGCAGCAGTATATTGGCAGAGAACTTCCAGAAATGCAAGCTGGATTCAGAAGGCGATGTGGAGTGAGGGATGTCATAGCTGATGTCAGATGGATCTTGGTTCAAAGCAAAGAATACCAGAAAGATATTTAGTTGTGTTTTATTGACTGTACAAAGGCATTCTGATTGTGTGGATCATAACAAATTGTGGATAATATTGAGAAGAATGGGAATTCCAGAACACTTAATTGTACTCATGAGGAAACTGTACATAAACCAGGAGGCTGTCATTAGAACAGAACCAGGGGATACTGCATGGTTTATAATCAGGAAGGGAGTGCATCAGGGTTGTATCCTTTCACCATACTCATTCAATCTGTATGCCGAGCAAATAATCCAAAAAGCTGAACTATATGAAGAAGAGCATGAGACAGGAGGATGAATCATTAACAACCTGCAATACACTGATGACACAACTTTGCTTGCTGAAAGTGAGGATGATTTGGAGCACTTACTGATGAACGTTAAAGACTACAGTCTGCAGTATGGATTACAGCTCAATATAAAGAAAACAAAAATCCTTACAACTGGACCAATAAGCAGCATCACAATAAATGAAGAAAAGATTTAAGTTGTCAAAGACTTCATATTACTTACTTTTACAATCAACACCAATTGAAGCAGCAGTCAAGACATCAAAAGATGTATTGTATTGGGCAAATCTGTTGCAAAAGACCACTCTCAAGTGCTGAAGAGCAAAACTATCGCCTTGCACACTAAGATGCACCTAACCCACGCCATGGTATTTTCAATCACCTCATATGCATTTGAGAGCTGGACAATGAATAAGAAAGACTGAAGAAGAGTTGATGCTTCTGAGTTGTGTTGATTAAGAATGTTGAAAGTACCATTGACTGCTAAAAGAACTAACAAATCTATCCTGGAAGAAGTACAGCTGGAAAGCTCCTCGTAAGCAAGAATGGCCAGACTTCGTTTCACCTACTTTAGTCATGTTTTCAGAGGGGACTATCCTCTGGAGAAGGATGTCATGCTTGCTAATGTGGAGGGTCAACAAAAGAGGGTAAGGCCCTCAACAATATGGATTGACATGGTGGCTGCACTGATGAGCTCAGGTACAGTAGGGACTGGGCAGTGTTTTGTTCTGTTGTGCATAAGGTTGCTATGAGTCAGAGATGACTTGATAGCACATAACAACAACAACAACAACAACAACAATTTCTCTCCTTCTTACCATGTCTACTGATTTAGTCACTAAATCATCCTGATTCACTGCTTGCACATCATTCTTTTCTATGTTTTTCACATCTTCAGCCCAGCTTTCATTATCTTCCTAAAAATAGTTCTAAGGAGCCATAAAGGTCTACCTCTCCATTCCATCTATTCTCCAGGCCACGTCAGTTATCTATCAAAGTGCAAATCTTGTCAAGTCTCTGCACGATTAACTCATTTTCGAGCACACCATTGTTCACAATATGAAGTTCCCTGTAGCCTGGCTAAAAAACTTTTTTGTTAGTGTGTTCCTGCTCCCACAAGTTTCATCTCTACCATTTCCCACCTATGCCCTCTGCTGTAAGCCCACCAAAAGTATTTTCACCTCCAAATCTTTTCTCCTTATCTTCTTGTCCTTACCTACAAAGAGCTTGAGTCTAAGCAAAACATTTATGCACTGTCTCTGCACCTTAACTCAGAATATTAATTAAAGATAAAGATTAAAGTTATGATAAGGATGCACATTTTCTTCAGACAATATCTGAATTATTTAATACCTTAACTCAAAGGAATAAATAAAATGTACAGTTCAACATATGTGTCCCACTAGAGGAAAGGAGCTACAGGGATCTTGGTGCCCTCCTCAAATAATGCCTCACAGATAACCACCATTTTACATGTGTGGGTGGGCTTGACCAATGGAACGCCTACTCTCTGGAGGATGATCTTTGCTTATAAGGCACCATGATGCAATCTAATGTAGTCCCAATGGCTTGGAAAACAAGGGATTTGAGTATCCGTTTTATCATTCACCACCCTATTGGCCTTAGGCAAAACATTTCACTTCTTTGAACTTCATTTTGTTATCTGAGAGCCAGTATCTACTTTTCAGGGTTGTTAATGCAGATCAAATGGAATTAGGTATGTAAACAAAGTGAAAACTGTAGAGCCATAGAGCAAAGGCTTTGCAGTCTATAAAGCATCACACAAAAGTGCAAAGGAATGCTATGAAAAGAGAGATGGACATGAAGTTAAAATATATGGGCATGGATTTCTAGCTCCATCACTCACTAGCCACATGAATTGGACCAAATTACTTGAATGTTTTTCCTGATACCCTAAAACACTTACCTTTCTGTGATTGTTTCTCTGAGGCCACTGGCTACTCCTTTGACCACAGTGCTAGCTTTGGGGGTCAGCACCACCTGAGAAATAAAAAACGAGCCCTTCTTTCTTCTCTCAGTGATGGATGCCTGAAGAAACTGGATCAGTTTTTCAGGGTCTGTGGTGTTGGCCCAGGGTGCTGGCATCATCTGCCCAGGCCAGAGGAAGGGCACTTCCAGAGCCACCGGGCTGTGGTAGAACACCAGCACCTGATAGTCCTTTTCCCACAGGTACTTTAGACTAACTTCTTGGGCAAAAATCGCTGGACACATTTTATTTCCATAGATGTCTTTCAGCATTTGGACCAGTTTTTCATGGTGATATTTCTGCATCCCATAGAAGTGATTGAAGTCTAAGAATACTACTTCCTTGTGGTGGTCTGTGAGGAATGCATTGATCTCCTCAAGGCCTTCGTTGACTTTGGCACTGAACAAACCATGAGCAAAGTAGAGTTCATTGTCGGGGTCTCGGGGCTTGGTGGAAATTCGAAGATCAAAATAACGAATCCCAGCTCCCAGCTGACCAGTGAAGTTCATTGTTTGAGTAGCTAACCATTTTCGCATCAGCTTTTTTGCCACAGTTCCAAACACAGAGACAAAATTCTGGACAGTTTCTGGCTGTTCAGGCCCTACTGGAGAGGCCTCATCAATGTAGAAGCTGAAGGAATCATGAGATCCTAGAAGAATAACAAGATATAATATGGTTATATCTCAGCCCTTAAAGACATAGAGTTTCCTTGTCCTTCCCAAGTTCTCTTTTCCCCCTGCCCTCAAAGAAGACAAAAGAAATACTAAGCAATATTTATCTAGCTAATCCCATGTCATAGGAGGGTCCTTTTTATAATGTAGTACAGCACATAGGGAATTCCTGGGGGGTGCAAATTAATAGTTAATGCATTCATTTGCTAACCAAAAGCTTGGAAGTTTGAGTCCACCCAGAGGCACCTTGGAAGAAAAGCCTGGTGACCTATTTCTGAAAAATCAGCCATTAGATACCCTGTGGAGCAGTTCTACTCTGTCATAAATAGTTGCTGTGAGTTGGAATCAAGTCAACAGACTCTACTACAACCATATGAGTACATGGGTATGCATAGTAAGATGGTAAGTTTAAATAAAAATATATTAGTAATTACAGTAAATACAAATGGATTAAAAGATTCAATCATAAGACACATATACTATTATAAATATTACATAATATATTACAAACATCTAAACATAAAACCAAATTCACTGCTGTCAAGTCAGATCCTACTCATAGTGACCCCTCCTTGAGTATCCGAAGTGGTTTCTCTATGGAAGTAGATTGCCAAGTCTTCCTTCCAAGGAGTGGCTGGTGGGTTTGAACCACCAGCCTTCTGATTAGAAGTCTAATGCCTTAGACACTATGCCACCAAAGCTCCTATTAAGTATATTACAAAGATACTGTTGTTGTTATGTGCTGTCGAGTCGGACCAGACTCATAGTGACCCCTCCTTGGGTTTCTGAGGCAGTATCACTAGGGAAGTAGATTGCCCAACATTCCTTCTGAGGAGTGACTGGTGACTGGTGGGTTTGAACACCAGCCTTCTGGTTAGCAGTTAAGTGCCTTAGGCACTATGCTACCAGAGCTCCCACAAATATACTATAAACCAAAAAAAAAAAAAAAACCTAAGCCCACTGACCCACTGCTGTCAAGTTGATTCTGACTCATAGCAGTGTCATAAGACACAGTAGAATTGCCTCATTGGGCTTTCAAGGCCATAAATCTTTATGGAAGCAGATGCCTCATCTTTCTCCCATGGACCAGCTGGTAGCAGCAGAACACTTAACCACTGTACCACCAAGGCCCTATAGGACACATTTAAAATAAGTATACAAGAAAGGAAATACACAAACAACAAAAAAACAAAAGTACAAACGTCCACCATTGGCTATGGAAAAAAAAAAAAAAAGAAAACAAATCTTGATAAGGATGTGGAGAAATTGGAGCCTTCATATATTGATGGTGGGAATGCAAAATGGCTCAGCTACTGTAGAAAACTTTGATGGTTTCTCAAAAAGTTAAACATTAAGTTTAACTATATGACCCAGCAATTCCACTCCTAGGTATACTTCCAAAAGAACTCAAAGCAGGAACACAAATAGATATTTGTACATCAATGTTCATTGCAGCACTATTCAGAAGAGTCAAAAGGGGGGAACAGCCTAAATGTCTATCAGCAGGTGGATAAACAAAATGTGGTACACACACATACAATAGAATATTACTCAGTTATAAAGAGAAATGAAATCTGGGCACTTGCTACAACATGCACAAACTTTGAAAACATTATACTGATCAAAATAAGTCAGTCACAAATGGAAACAAAAATTATTTTATTCCATTTACATGAAATATTTACAATGGGCATGTATTTAGAGATCTAAGTTTATTAGTGGTTACCAGGAGGGGAAAGGAAGACACAACGCTTACGGGATGTTGAGCTTCTGTTAAGGGTGATGGAAAAATTCAGGAACGGTTAATGGCGATAGTTGAACAACATGATGGACATATTTAATGTCATTGAACTGTATATGTGAAGAGTGTTTAAATGACAATATTTTGTTACATATGTGTTTACCACAAAAATTAATTATTTTCTTAAAAGCCTATGGACTAATGTTCTACTCTGACACATGTAGGGTCTCCATGAGTCAGAATCAACTCAGGCAGTTATGAGGTTTTATAATACACGGAGCATCTTAATAGTCCACAACTGATTCCACAATGATAAGAAAAATTCCTTCTGACCAATATTTTGAATCTCAAACCATCATCTTTTATTTCTGTGAAACTACAATTTAATGCACTCATAGGATTGGCTTTCCAAATAAGTGACCATTATAAAGTAGGATTTATTGAGACTCATGAGTTCTGAAATATTTTGTCTTTAATCTTGCCTTTTCCTTTTATTCTGAGTTAATTTTAAAGCTTAGAGGTCTTGTGTCATATGAATAAAGAAGACTTGGTGATGCAGTGGTTAAAGCATTCAGCTGCTAACCAAAAGGCTGGCAGTTCAAACCCACCAGTCACTGTATGGGAATCTACTTCCATAAAGATTTACAGCCTTGGAAACGCTAGGGGGCAGTTCTATTCTGTCCTATACGTTTTCTATGAGTCAGAATCTACTCTTGGGTTTGGTTTGATTTCACAGGCAATTAGTGTACAAGTTGTTATGTCACACACTGAAAACTACAAAAAGGTCCAAGGCAAAAAAGAAGGGAGAAATAATATAATTGGAGAGTACAATTCTGATAAATTTTATGTCATTCCTTGTTTCGCATTTGTCGTTGTTGTTGTTATGTGTCTTCGAGTCGGACCTGACTCATAGTGGTCCCTCCTTGGGTTTCTGAGGCGGTATCACTACAGAAGTAGATTGCCCAACCTTCTTTCAGAGGAGTGGCTGGTGGGTTTGAACCACCAGCCTTCTGGTTAGCAGTCAAATGCCTTAGGAACTATGCTAAACTTAAAG